AAATAAATACTTCACTTCTTGTAATAACTGTGAGTACACAAAAAAAGCTTGAAAAAATTAAACTGCTACTGGACAGAGATAGCTAACGCCTCTGATCAGAGCATACACTGCATTCCGGATGAACTGTGGACAACCGTGAGTCGAAACCGCTTGCTCCAGAGATACACGAAGCTGGTAGAAAAACATTCTATAATATGTGCAATTAAAAAAAAGGATTTTCTGTTTTTCAAAATATTCAAAAAATTCTCAGTATTTCAATCAAAAAACTGGAAACATTAGAAAAACAGTCAAAAATCCATGCTTTCTTGCAATTTTCTTGAAAATTTCTGAACCAATCAAAAAGTCTTAAAACCAGAAACAAAGGTTTCCATGCCACGATTTTCATTAACAATGTTCAAAACTCAAACTTAATCGGTACTAGACCTATTTAGCTGTTAAGGACCAAGTCAAAAGTCAGTATTCCCACCGTAATTATTCTCTCAGGGAGACGGCGGTATTCGGAGTTAGTCCTCGTAATAGCACGTATTAATAACAACTATCCATTGGTACGACTGTCGACGGTTCATTCTTCCGAGGGTCGCTTAAAAGCAAGCTGACAGCGAGTTTGACTTTTTCACATGTGCCACAAACGTCTACACTAAAATGCCTGCGACCTGCGTTGTATACAAAACGGAAGAAATAGGAAACCATCTCCTAAAAGAACAGCCTTACCCCTAATTAAGTTTTTCTTTGATACAAAACTTACTTTGTGGAATGATTTCGGCGCGACATGTAACGTAGTGTGATGAATCGATAATAAATGAACGGAAGGAAAATTGATGCCTTGCCACTGCAATATTGGGCAATTATTTAATAAATTATGCGGTAAAACATAGTGGGTAATTTTACGAATCACATTTAATCCGTAAAATTACATCAACCAACCACTGGTTTCTCTTTGAACTCTTTTTTTTTTTTTTCGTTTTATGAAGTACTCACAGCCAATTCGTACACTTTGATAGCGGCATACAATCCGGAATACCTAATCAGCAACGATTCTTCATTGTGATCCATTCAAGATGAGGCGATTATGCAAAAAGCATACAAGGAGAAATCTTAAAATCGCTAAAGCCCTGCCAAGCTTTTTTTTTTGGGAGAAACGGTGAGCAAATATTTCGTTTAGGAGAAAAAAACGAATGTTAGGATCGCCAGTAAGCTGATAGCAAGCCATGTAGTACTGGACAAAAAAAAAAAAACTGGAAAAACTGTCAGCTGCATAGCCCAGCAACCGTACTTTAAAATAACACCTGTTCTATGTATACGGCTCGAAAAGCCCAGGCAGCATCCATGAGAACGAAAACAGTTATCCTGACGGATTTTTTGATGAAAACAATTATCCTGACAGGTTCCGAGATTGAGCGTGTGAGTGATAAACGGAAGACAAGTAAAAATAGAAGATGTAAAAGCTTTCGAAAGAGGCCAAGTGCTACTATGACTACATATTTTTACATAACAGCAAAATTTTGCCCCTCACAGCTCCCATTACAAGAAATAATGCTAATAATCACGAAACTCGCTGTTCCAGATACAAACAAAATCATCAGACTGCTCTTAACTCGGAGTACGAAAATAACGTACGTGAAAACCATGACCACGATCATGGGCATCAGAAAAATCTCGGAGCAGGCGATCACTCCCAGCAGATTCTGTGTATGTTGTCTTGTTAGCTCGGATACTTTAGCAGCAATATTGGTTGCCTGGCCAGTCGCATTGCACATCTGAACAACGGCACTGGCCACATGCAATAACGCGTACAGGAATATTGGCATCAGTGCCACTGAAATAATGCGCGGGATATAAAAGATTTTGAACTCACAGTGAATTACATGTCAAAAATTGTTTAAAATTTGGGGAAGCAGTCAGTGTTTCATCCCTTAGCTGTAAACATAGACAATGAAAAAGCAAATCATTCATTTGTGACCATATGAAAGGAAATGCGCGTAGTTCCCTGCACACTGTTATGTGTCTCAAACAACTTCAGTCTGATGCAGAATTGTAGATACAACAGTAAAATATGAAAAAAAAATGTCTCAAATATGGTGAAAATACGAAATTCTTAATATTTTCTTTAGAAAATTGAATAAAAAGCATAAAAACGAACGCCAGGAATATACCCTAGTACTTAGTCCAGTGATCAGTTTTAGTCACAATCAACATAGATACTGAAGTACAATAAAAGTGCACAAATACGCTGCCACAACAATATTGTAATTTTAATTTTAGATGATGTGTATTTATGTAAAAAGTAAGGCTTAAAAAGGAATAAAAGGAGGGTGAATATGGCTGATCTCTTTACAATTAAAAGTTCTGGAACTAGTCTAGGGAAGCAGGTGACCCCTATTCTGAGTAGCGTAAAGAGTAATAAAAAAACCAGAAACGATACTGCATAGATTATTTATGGTATTACAATTTCCAAGCCTTACAGCTCCTAGTTTTACCAGCTCCTAGAAAGTGTGATCCAGAAGCGATAATGTTCGGGACAATGCGTTGACATCTCGGAATGGCTAAAGTCCTGTCAAATGCTTCTGCAAAAAGATCCGTCACACTGACAACTTCTCAAAAGTCAAAAAGAAAATCAAGATTATCATCAAGTAAACTACCAGGCAATGCAGCATTGGTCAAAGCAACTGGGAAACTTGCCATCTACAAGCTAGCGAGCAAAAATAAGCATGAATTAAAGCTCATCCAATAAAAAGCATAAAAAAAAACATAAAAAAAGCATAAAAAAAAACAGTTTATACTGAAAAAATTTCGAATGAACGCAAGGCATTACTTGTGACTGGACTGGCGGTAATGAAGAGGACCGAATAGATGAGATAGTGGCATGAATCCTCCAAAAACACCGAGGACAGGAATTCCCGGGTAAAACGTAGCCCGCCAACACGCTGATGCATACGAAATGCATTTGTTGCAGCGGCTGAAAAAAAAATAACCAGATTTGCCATAAAACTTCGCAAAACGGGAAATTTGTTTTGCTGTAAGTAATATAAAACCTCTCGAAAATATGCGTTTTTGCATTGCATAGATGCAAAAAACACATAAAAGGATAATACATACCGGCTGCAAAAGCTTTCCAGTAAGCGGAAGTGTGCAGGCCTCTAGAACCGAACGGTAAAAGGTACAATATTGTGCATACAATCGTAATGCTTCTGGTCAGCACCAGCACCGCATCTGTACGCCGACTGCTCAGATATTGCTGAAAAAGAGAAAGTGAATCGCTGAATGGATGTTTTTTTTTTTTTTTTTTTTAATTTCAATATTACACAGTGATGACACTTACCTTATACACACACACGCAGACACACACACACACACACACAACATTCACACATTTATGCATATATCGACACGTAGATACACACGCACGCACACACACACGCACACACACACACACACACACACACACAAATACACACTATTCACACATATATACACACGCAGATACACACATACACCACTAACATCTCAAAACAAGTGCAGCCATGCTAATTTATCTGCCGGCAAAACCATTGGGCTAAAATATCTCTTCGGAAACGAAACGAACGTCAGGATTGCCAGCAGTAGCAGCAGACTGACCAGTAAGCAATGCATCACTGGTCAAAGTAAAATGATAAAACCGCCAATTGTATAAACGAATTAATAGGTCCATGAATTAATATACATTCATAGAATTATGTAGCCGATGGCCTAAGATCAATCGAAGAAATTCTTTAAACTCAATTTATATATTTTGATTAAGATTAAGCGCTGTCATCAACTTTTTGCTTGTAAAAACAGTTCTCAAAAGGAGCCGTCATAAGCCTTACCAGGACGTGATTGCTGTTGGCAATTGCTATCGCTTGGACTACTTGTCCGGTACTTCCGCCTCTTTTTGAGGGCGAATACGGAGGAAGGGGTTTTTAACTCTTTAATTAAGATTAAAAGATTCTGGATCGATCTCAAATATCATACGTATCAATGGATCACTGAACATCATTTCTATATTTCTTCAGTTAGCTGTAAACACAGACAGAGCAAAGTGTGGAAGCATCAGTACAGCCCCTACTCGTCTTTGCAGAGTACGTTTCTGATTACTCAAACCCAAAGCTAGGGAGAGACATATCAGCAAAAAAGCTCAATTCCATTCGAATTTGGCTTAATTTCTATTCACATTTTGAGTACCTACATACAATTCATACCGTCATTTGTCCAGCTAAGCAAATGGTAACTTTTTTGAGTGCTTTGACCGATGCTATATCACCCCACTCCCTCCCTCCCCCCTCCCCCCCCGTGATCAGTCTGTTGCTGATCATTTGGATGTTCGTTTTGATTACCAGCTCAGTGATTTTTCCGATAAAATCGTTTGCACGGTACTCACCACCTCAAGATTTCCCTGATCTTGTTCTGTATCATCGCTTCGTCTCGAACGTTGTTACTTGTAAAGCACGATGAGGTAAACCTTACCTCCTGCGGAAGGCTCTTCCAACTCAATTCTGCCGAAACGAGTCAATTTTGAGGCGAAATATTGACTCACACGATTGCTCACTCAATTTTTTAATTTCACTTTTCTCTCCTCTCTTTTAAATGCACCAGACAGCACATTTCTAATGGTTCGGTTGCAACCGTCACACTGACGAGATTCGGCTACACTGCTATATGACTTAATGGACCGAAACATTCCACATTACAATTGAAGGCGTCCTGGTCAATGTGAGGGGTAGAGACGGGCCGTCAATTCGTCGATTCGCACAAATGATCAAAACCCATCCTCAGCTGACTGGTGGCATAATGTGGAACCCCTTTCTTTCTTCCCTATTCCCCCTCTTTGAGAGACAGTACTTCAAGGTTTGGTGCAAAACCGCATGATCGCACCGGCTCGCCTGGTGCATTCCAGCCTGAGTTACTTCCTTTTAATTACTGCTTCAGCTACAATCTTTTTCATAGCTTTATAAAGTACTAAATTCACATTTGAATAAAAAATTTTACCGATAAAGTGCACCGCGCAGTGTTTTGAGATGGAGGCGGCGGCGGTGGTGCTGCTGGTCGACTATCGCCTGCGGGATTTGCCTCATCGCGCGTCGGACTTGCCTCACGGATTTCAACCATTATCGATCAAGCAAGCCCTGAAATCAATCAAAAAATTTCCAGTGAGGAAAAGAGGGCATCACTTTTACACTTCTTGACCTCAATATCTTCTCCTCCACGCGGCTGAATTGACAATTTCGCCCCCGCCCCCCTCCCCTCTACAGCGTTAAGTGGTTAGGCCCTGATAAATCCGTGGAAGACGTGCTGGCAGCGCAGGACGCGCACTACAGCTTCACGTTTCCACGTTTTCCTTCACGTTTCTCAACTATTACCGTGCCAAAAAGCCTTAAGAAAGAATCATGCCACTTTTCGACCCCGTAAAATGCCTCTCTCCACGCTGCCTACATGACGGCCGTTACGTCATCACGTGAACTCAGCGAGCAAAGCCTAACCCTAAGCCACCACTGGTCCCATGGGAGATGTACAGCAACACTGTATGCAACGTGGCGATCACTGGAACTCGGCTCGACTGAGGTCAAGAAGCCGGGACAGGAAGGAGGGAAAAGGGACGGAGGAAGGCAGAGGACAGAGATCGCGGGGAGAAAGGTGAGAGGACCAAGGATGCTGGTTTGGGTTTCAAGGGTGATAATAGAGTGGAGAAGGAAACTGAGTTATTAACTGCAAAGGGGCTGAGATC